TGCTTAACATCGAGCACTTTGAACCCACAAGTGGCATTTCAATACCTCCACATTTCCTTTGCCCCCTTTCTTTGGAGCTTATGACGGATCCTGTTATTGTGGCTTCCGGGCAAACGTATGACAGGACCTCCATCCAAAAATGGCTTGATAGTGGACTCAGCATTTGCCCAATGACCCGTCAAACGCTCAAACATAGAGATCTCATTCCCAACCACACGGTTAAAAATATGGTAGCAAATTGGTGCGATGAAAAGAGCTTGCAACTCTCCAATAACTCTGGGCATGCTAAACTTGTCCCAATCTCTTCTCCTTCAAATCATATATCCTCTCAAGATTTAACCCATACTGATAGTTTCCATTGCTTTGCAAATCGTATTAGTTCCACAACAAGGTCATCTCTTGAGGTCGGGAATGGTTTAGAGAAGCTGAAGATCGACATGTCATCTAGATTTAGTGGAGAGTGCAATAGATGTCAAAGCAGGGAGATTGAGAAGTATGACCAGTCCTCTGATCATTCATATATTCACAGCAGAACTGAATCAGCAGCAAGTGAAGCTTCCACTAGTGATTATGCACCTCCTGCTTCAAATGACTTGCCCAGAAGGTCAAAGGAACATGAAATGAATGAGGTAGCTGAAATTTCATCCGAGTGCCTTGGCACTTTTCCTTCAGTGAAAGAATCTGGATTTTCTTCCTGGACAACAGGAAAGCAATTGCAGGTCTCTGGAACAAAAGCAGAAGAGGCAGTTAATGGAAACCGTGATTATAACAAAGCATACTCCATTACTTTTTCTGGGTCAGGATGTGATGATTTAACTACAAGTTCCCATGTGATGGAAATAGTAGACAACCTTAAAAGCCCATCAAATGAAGTCCAAACTGTAGCTGCTGCAGAGTTGCGCTTTCTTGCAAAGAACAACATGGACAACCGTATAATTATCGGTCGCTGTGGTGCTATTGCACCGTTACTGTCTCTATTATATTCGGAAGTGAAGCTAACCCAAGAGCATGCTGTTACAGCCCTTTTAAATCTCTCAATTAATGAAGATAATAAGTCTATGATTGCAAAATCAGGAGCAATAGAGCCACTAGTTCATGTTCTCAAGTCAGGAAATGATGGAGCCAAAGAAAATTCTGCGGCAGCTTTGTTCAGTCTTTCTGTCTTGGAAGACTATAAGGCAAAGATTGGACGCTGCGGTGCTATCAAAGCGTTGGTGAATCTTCTGGTTTCAGGAACATTGAGAGGGAAAAAAGATGCTGCTACTGCTTTGTTTAACTTATCAATCTTTCATGAAAATAAGGCTCGTATGGTTCAAGCAGGTGCAGTAAAATACCTTGTCCGGTTAATGGATCCTGATAGTGGGATGGTTGACAAGGTAGTTGCTCTTCTCTCGAACTTGTCAACAATAGGGGAAGGGCGTGTAGCAATTGTTCGAGAAGGTGGTATCCCATTACTAGTTGAAATTGTTGAATCAGGATCGCGGAGGGGTAAGGAAAATGCTGCCTTTGTATTGGTGCAACTATGCCTTAATAGCCACAAGTTCTGCATGCTGGTTTTGCAAGAAGGGGCTGTGCCACCACTCGTCGCATTGTCCCAGTCTGGCACGCCAAGAGCAAAGGAAAAGGTATGCAGCTCAGTTTTTCTCCTCTTCTGTTATGGTGATGCAGTCCTTGCATTCTCCTCTATCACATCTTAATAAGCAATATTGCGATTATATTCCTTCTGTTTGTCTTCACCTGTACAATTGCGATAATATTGCTTGTGTGATGAACTCTATCGAGGGTTCTACCACTTTTCCATTTATTTATTGGAAATTGACCTTGCTTTTGTGCTTCTAATTGTGACATATTAGAAGGGTATGAAAGATGTGTTACTTTTCCGAAATCCGTTGCGGAAAGTAGTGAGTGACATCACATCAGAAAGGCATAACATTTCTTGTAATGCTCATTAAATCTTAGTTAGAATTGATGTTTGCTCATTCATTACATGTTTGATCACATATTAATCTGAAGAGAAAAAAAAGTCTGCATGCACGTGCGAAAATACTTGATATTTTTTCCCTGTTGCAGGCTCAACAGCTTCTCAGTCACTTCCGGAATCAGAGAGAAGGTGCCACTGGGAAGGGCAAGACATGAAAGCCGACTATTTTCTGTTATATTTTTCCTTTCTGATTTTTTGATATCCTACTCCACGTAAGTTGGTCTCCCTCAATTGGTCCTTTTGGAGTTCTCGTTTCATAAATTATTTAATCCTCCAGCTATATGCGTTAGTGTTATGAAATCTATTCTTTTTTTTTTTTTAATACCATTTTTAAATGTGGTTAGAGGGTGAGGAAACAGGGTATTGTTGTTTCTATGAGGGTTGTGATTTGTCTATAATTTGCTGCGATATTTTCCTTAGAAAAACTTGGTTTGCCATAGCATCCAGAGTAGCTTTCCATTCGGTTCTAGTTGTTTTAGTGACAGATTTGGCCTTGGATTTGTAGATATATTTGTACATATTCTATAGACTTGTAATCTGTTGTAGGATCTTGTTGAAAGATATTTATTGCTATTTGTTTTCAATTGTTCCATTCTCTGTTCTCGTGTTCTTAATCTTGTACCGTAATGGACACTAGATTTTCGAATTGTTTCATGGTTTACTGACCTGTTATACACTTTCCCGACGAAGGAAAGCAAATTGTTGACCCTAAACACACTGTTCAGCCCAGATTGATTTCCATTCGCTCCCCTCTTTTACATTATCTGGGTGAATTTCATTGCTAGTTAAAACCCGAGCAAGGCGAGGTGATAGTAGACAAGCTAAACGATATTCGTAGAGCTTCATCCCCGTTGATGATACGCGGCAATAGGCGGTACTCATACGGTAATACGTTCAAGTGTTTTTTCTATTGTTGTTGCCTGAAACTTGCAGCCTGGTCCTACTCCTACTGGTATGAATTACTGTTTAGAAAAAGCATCCAAGGCTGGCTCTGTTTCACTCATACTATATACAACAGCTTGCCATGATCAGACTCTTTCAAGTCCTTGTTATACTGTTCCCTGTATTGACCATTCATCCTCTTCTTCACTCTGGTCCTCCATGACAGATACAAAGTCGTGTCAAACGGTTGAAAATCCGAGATTCAAGCCCTACATGTTTATATACGTCCAGAGTTTAATTCGATCGGTCCGTGCATATTTTTATCTGCAAAAAAGGGTTTCCTAGAATAGAGAAGAACATAAGATTATGTTTCATTGAATCTGTCCCCAAAATTAAATTGACAAAGAGGGAGCATTGGTCACCTCAAGTAGAGGTGTACAAAAAATTCGAATATCCGATTTTGCCTAAAAAATATCCGAAACCGGATTTTGAAAAAACCGGTTTTTTTAAACCGGATCGGATATTTAAAAACCGGATAGTATAACCGGTTTGGAAAAAAATTGAACGACTGGTTTTTTTACCGGATTAAAAATCGGTTTTTTTCAAACCGGATAAAAAACTGGTTTTTTATCCGAAAAAAATCCGGTTTTTTAAAAAAATTGGATTTTTATCCGAAAAAATCAGGTTTTTTTTAAAAAAACCGGTTTTTTTGCAAACCGAAACCGGTTACACCATCCGGCCCTCCAAACCGATTAAAATCCGATCCGGTTTTTTTAAAATCCGGTTTTTGGGTTGGGGGAAAAAACCGGATCGATTTTTATCCGATCCGGATTGGATTGAAATCCGGCTTCTGTGCATCTCTAACCTCAAGTAGGCGGATACTGCTTTTTAAAGTCACGATCACGATCAAACCTTAGAAACGTTGGAGAAGTGACTAAAATGTAAATAGTCATCAATTGTCAATCACAAGTGGAACAATGGAGATGTAATTGGTGTACAAAAGAAGGGTACAAATGGTTAGGATTGAGAATTGCTTGGGTTGAAAGGAAGGTACCCGAGTTACTGGTCAAGAAATGTTATTGATCATTGAACAAGACTATCGATGAGATTCGAATTTCTCAAAGTTACTTTTATCACCTTTAGAAATGCACAGAGGGTCCAAAAATGGAAGGGCAGTTTTGAGCCGATCAAAATCTTGGTCCCTTTCATCAATTTTCGACAATGACTTGCTAACAATCTCGTGCACTGAATATTACTGTTTTTATCCCTTACTAGCGGTGTTGAAAAATACTCGACACATTGACCCTTTGACCCGGTATAAAATTATATGATATTTTAGAGGAAAATATCCGATTTTACGGGTCGGGTATTCGACCCGTTATTTTTACGGGTTGAGACCGGGTCACAAAATTACTCATAACCGGGTATCCATCGACCCGGTTTCCCTTTTTTTTTATTACTATTTTTATTTTAAATTAAAATTTTCATTTCTAATTTCAAAATTATTTTACCCTAACATTCTAAATCTATATTTTTATATTCAGCTCAACGTTATATATATATATATTTTTTTGAGTAAACTACTCAAGAAGTCACCGAACTATAAGATCAATTTTATTTTAGAACATTAATTAAAAAGTTAAATATAAAGTTTTTGTAACAAATAATTAATTTCATAATAATTTTATAATAATCATCCCTGTTTTTATTTGTTTGATATGCTCTTATTTCAGTCACTTTGGAGAAGTTGTGGGGTTTTGATGTTGGATGTGCAATTAATTGAAGAATTCATACATGCATGCATGCATGCATGCATGCATGAACGAACTTGAAAACATCCCTAACTTCCATGTGTTGTGTTGGTGGGTTTTATATCATTTGTCTTTGGGTCAAATTTACTCCTCAGGCCCAACTAATTCCCCGGTGAATATATATATGAGTTAATTCATATATTTTTTTTATATTTTTAAATAGAATTATGAAAGAAATAATCATAAATTTCGAACTAATAAAAGAATTGATTAGTAAACAAAATTGAAAGTAGGTCAAATATCAATTCAATAATTACGAGAGGCTTCCCTTCTTCACTAATCCTCCAGTGTTGTTTTTTAAATTATTTCTCTTTGCTTGTGTTGTTTTCGTATAAACAGTAGAAATCTGGGAAACAAAAAGTGGAGTTATCATGTAGCTATAGCTGAGAGAATTATAATAACAAAAGAAAGCTTTCAGTTCCCTCACTCGTCTTGCAACAACAGTTTCAACTTTTGATTTCATGAGCTCTATAATAGGCTGTCCTATGCAACTGTTGTCATCGTCAAAACACTAGTTCAAGATCCAAAGCCAAAAAAGAAGACATCCCGTCACCACCACCGAAGGAACTCTTCCTTGTTTGCCTTTTAAAACATTCGGAAACTGTTTGCTGTGATTGTCTCCATGGATTCGATTCGAGAAATGGATAGCTTCAGCTCCGAAAACGGCGCCACCAGCATTGTGAACGTTAGCCATAACAGTGCCACTTCGTCTTCTTCTCCGACCTCAAGCCGCTACGAGAACCAAAAGCGCCGTGACTGGAACACTTTCGGGCAGTACCTGAGGAATCATCGCCCCCCGCTTTGCTTGTCAAGGTGCAGTGGGGCTCACGTCCTCGAATTCCTTCGCTACCTTGACCAATTCGGCAAGACCAAAGTCCACAGCCCTATCTGTCCTTTCTATGGCCACCCGAACCCGCCGGCACCTTGCCCCTGCCCGCTCCGTCAAGCCTGGGGCAGCCTCGACGCTCTCATTGGCCGTCTCCGTGCCGCCTTCGAAGAAAACGGAGGAAAACCCGAAGCAAACCCGTTCGGGGCACGAGCCGTGAGGCTTTATCTCCGTGAGGTTCGTGATTTGCAGTCGAAAGCGAGAGGGATTAGCTATGAGAAGAAGAAGCGTAAACGACCACCACCTCAACCAATCTCATCCCTTCCACTGCCACTACAACTGCCACCACCGCCACCAGGTGCAACTTAAAAAAGATCAGCAAAAAATCCCATCTCTTGTTCTATGCGGGGTAGTTCAGTTTATCTTTAATTTTGCCATATAAGTATATTTCTCGGGCAGATCTTTTCCCACTTTCCTATGCTCTCTCAGTTTGCTTTTTAATTTTCCCATCTGTTGGTCTACTTTTGATGCTAACAGTGTTAGTATTCCTCGGTAGTACTTGAAAAAAGTCATTGCACTAGCAGTTTGTTGCCTAATCAAGTTGAACCTAATTTGCTCGATCATGGCTTTTCTCTCATGTATTTTGCCCAAAAAATATAAATTTGCACTTCATACCCCTTTATTTCCTTGGGTATTTTTCCTTTATCTGCCTGTTCAGATTTGTCAACCACTATACTTGTTTAGTGTTTTTTGTTGCAGACGATGGCCGGTGTTTTTCACCTCTGACTTCGCTCCTGTTTCTCTCCCTTTTATTACTTGTCTTGTCACTTTAATTTCACTTCTTTTACTGCCTAGAATTGATTGGTGTTTATATATAAACGTCAAACTATTTGAAAGATTGATCTTAGCATTGTTTTGCTCACTGATTGTGAAAGTGAAAGTGCGTTAGTGGCCTGAAAATGGTGGACTAGACGATTGCAGTTGCTTGTACATGTGCTTATCCGTCGGGCGCTAGCTAGTCCTTGGTGCTGTCATTTCAGTGTAGGAATGTATGGCAGACAATGTATATGGTTCATAGATAGGTTATATTATTATTAACATATAATTTCATTAGTAAATGAGCTGATATTTCAACCATTTAAGTATGTGACACCTTAATAGTTACTCCTATTCTAGCGTTGTGGAGTTTCATCTTCCACTTTCTTTATTTGTCAGGAGGAAATCACACAGTTAAATTTAGTAAAGCTCACATTTAAAAGGTCATTCCAGATACTAAATTAGGTGGCTTGCATGATCTGCAAAGTGTTTTTATGTATATAAGTGGAAGTACATGGTTTCAAATTATGGGTGAAAGATTAGTCTTTCTTTTGCTTTCATCCTTGTAATTTTATAAGTTTAAGTTCGTCCCCTTAAAAATTTATAAGTTTAAATTCATCACATAACATAAAATTATGCATCCGTCCATGATTGTTATCATCCTTCTCCCTACTTTTCACTTATATATATATATATATATATTATATATATATATATATTAATGGTGATTAAGATGACGAGATTGGAAAATGTTTACTTATATGTGTATGTATTTTTGTGAAGCCAATCAGTTGATTGAAATTAAATGTCAAACTACAAAATGACTAATTGATTACCACAATAGAATATAGGCATTTTCGCGCATATCTACTCCAAGAACCCTTTGATATATTATGTAATTGATCCCAATATGTTTTAAATTATACAAATAGGGGTCCCTTTGTGAGGGAAAAAAGAAAGAAAGGTTATGTACAAGGCATTACCTTTCTGATCTCACTATATATGCACACCTAAGATTATGTTGGGAAGATAAGTTATTTAATGCTGAAAGTGTGGTCAATAAAATAGAAAAAAGGGGGCCTAAACTGAATGAGTAGTCACAATTAACCTTTTTTTTGTTATTTCCCGTAACTTTAGGGATGAGACATAAATTTCATATGAAGGATCTCAAATATAATGTTATAATTATGTTTGTTTTATTGTCTTCAAAAATTGTTTTATAATTTTTTTATACTAATGATATCATTGTCAAGTTTGAATTTGAACTTTGGTTGATTGTTAATTAGTATTCCCAGACTTAAGCATAGCAAGCTCTACTCCATAATTCTCTGCAGTTGCATTGAAACTTTATATTATATTATATATATTGATTTTCATGGTTTAGTTTTTAAAAAAATATGAGATTATATTGGAAATAGAACAAATGGAGAGGCGTAAGAGGAGTTTTGTCATGTAAAAACAGTACAAAAATGGAGGCAATAGAAGCCAAAGGTTGATGATAGTAAGCCCAAAATTTACCTTCCCCATAAGCCAATATGTGATCAATACTTATGCATGTAATTTCTCTGAACCCCACCTTCTCTGCTAAGCTAAGGCCGACCCCTCCATGCACATTTCTCAGATCCCTTCACGTTCCTCCTATTCCAAATGGTACAAATTTGAACTAACCGAACATCAATACATACGAATACTACATACACTACATATGTAAAATATATACATTACATAAACAATACATACGTGCATACAGATATATACACTACGATTGTAAAATATTTAGGTAGACAAGTACGAGAATCCTGCATCCAGCGGTGAATGGGATACGCATCCGGATTTTGACGAAAATAACAATACACGAGATTGGACCCACCATCCACGTGCACACCTGTCACCCATGTCGTCTCCTTTACAGTCCAATATTATATTTAAATAAAACAATTACATCTGCTACATACTCGTATTGACGCAGTGCATGGGGGCCTCCCTTGAGAGTGTAAAGCAACGGTAATCAACTGGCATTGTTTATTGTTCTCGTCTTGGTCGTTTCTTTTCGGTGATGGAGCTTTCAGGTAGCTTTTTAGAGACATGGCTTCCAGTACTCTCTCTCTCTCTCACTGATCTCAGTGCTTACAGCTAAATCAAGGAGCTACCCTATCTTTCGTGGTACGGTCTTGCTTTGTTGGATTAAACAAGATTCAAAGTGTAAGTTTGAACGAAAACGCTACAGCTTCAGCATCGAAGGCCTTGGCCATGGGAGTTGTCAAGCAGCTGAAACATCAGTAGGTAGGGGTCTATACATTCACTTTGGCATTTGCATAACGGTAGCAGTTAGCAGACAAATTTAACTGTTTCTGCTACATCTCCACCACTCCATCAGTATTGCAGCTGCTGCTGTACAACGTACATCCTACTGCTTTGGCCTATACATATTAGTATGATTCTACCTATGAAACCCTCAACTGCCTTTATGAGGTTAAACCTTTGAGATTTGAGGAAAAAAAGATTGATTGATTGATCGTCGGCATGGAATCTGTTTTTTCGGGATTTGACCCTACACCTTTCAAACAACCAACAGTGGTGACAGAAAAATCCAACCCTATCCCATGTTACTTACGAGTGTTTCTGCAGTAAAACGTATCGATATGTGGGTGCATGGAAGATGGCACTTAGTAGTAGGTAAAAGGGCACTGCTGCAAACTAGAGTGGTCTAGGAAAATAGTTGCTTTTTGGTGAAATTGTTGCGAGTAAACAGTGAGCTAGTGGTGAGAGTGAGGACCACCGGCGGTAGCTAATATGATTGGTACATGAAATGAAAATGTGCGAGTCAAGTTTGGCTGAATTTCAAACTTTGTGGTCAACACTGGTCTCCATGCTTGCTGGTTACTATTACAGTACTATTCTTATGTAATCGACTCTTAATTTGACCTACTTTTATAAATGGTTTAAATAATTTCAGGTTTCGATCATATAATATACGATAAAAGATGCGGTCGATACCGTAAAATATTGAATTTTTTTGTGATACGAGCCCAATTCATTGGGCCACTATTGGTCTATCAGAGTAATATGAAATAGCCCTTCAGGATTACAACGAAAACCTCTTATGAGGCGTCTGGATGAAATGCATAACAAATCTAAAGGCTTTTTTATTTAAAAAAACCCCTCAAAAATTCATTTATTGGAAAAGTAATCCATAAACAGAATTAATTGAGAAAATACCTCTCAAACTACTCACGGACTACCTCGTGTTATACAAAATATGTTTAATAAATTCCACGTTTTATTGAGTGCGAGATTCATCAACTTTTCAAATACACTCATTTATTTTTTGGATAAGTGTAACAATAAAAACATGAAATTCATTTTTCGTAGAACGTAAGATTTGACCTCACTTTTCATAGAACGTGAGGTATTCCTACATAGGCAGTTTAGGGAGTCTTTTCAAGTTAATGTTTTTTTGAGAATATTTTTCTAATAAATAAAATTTTAAGGTTTTTTTTAAAATTAATAACGCCCAAGCTAAACGTAATGGGCCGAAACTGCTCAAGCCCTGTGATCTAAGTCTTGCCTAGGAAATATATCATTAAGTTGTTAATATCTAAGTTCGAGTATTATAAATTCATTGATACCTCAGTAGTAAAAAAAATTGTTCTTCTTATAAATATCAAATTCGATTACTTACATCTATAGGTTGTGTATTGTTAATAACTAAGAAATATACTGAATATATATTATTTTATACTCACCCTAAACTATTCATGATCAATACTAATAATAATAAGTTTAAGTCTCATCCATAATAATTTTAATTTATATTTACTTGATTATTGAAATAATCAAATATTTATTTAAAGATAACTCTCGATCATTTGACATTAACGCTCATATATTTAACATTCTTGGTGCTCGAACCCGAAACCTCAATAAACAACAACAATTATATTATTCGACATAAAGTCATCCAAGTTAAAACAACTCTAGAAACCCACCAACATAATCATCACTTGAAAGACGTACCAAGACTAATTCAATTATCCAACATCGAAAGGAAAGAAAAGAAAATACATAATTGCATTATTGTTGATATTATATTATATTTACGTAATTAATAGTAATATATGATATTGTAATGTACGTTTAGTTGAATTTGTTTAAAGTTTTAATAAAAGAATATATATAAAAATTATACAATACTCAATAAGACAGTATAAAAAATAAAATCAAAGAAAGCAATTTTGTGTAAAATGACCAGTGAAGAATTTATATATGCTTTATATAAATGATTTTTTACAATGCCACTGATGTATGCAAAAAAAAAAAACATAAACCCTAAACTAAAAAAATAAATCAAAGAAAGCAATTTTGGTAAAAGACAGTGAAGAATTTATATATGCTTTATATAAATGATTTTTTACAATGCCACTGATGTATGCAAAAAAAAAAAACATAAACCCTAAACTAAAAATCAACCAACAATCTTCTTGCATCGCTTCGAATCGTCAAAGGCATGCAAACTACACCAAACCAACGTCACAAATCACCTAATAAATGGCAAATTCCTTGTTTATTTTCCTCTTTGTACTCAATAAACTTCACAAGAAAATCATATTATTATCGATCCCGAATCTCATGTCGTCCGCGTTGGAAGCCACACCATGAAGAAACTCATGAGGATCATGATGATGAACACCCAAGCTGTTTTCATCCATGTTCATATCCCACAAGAACTTGTAATCATCATCGAAATTCGAGCTGATTTCATTGATGCATCGATTATTGTTGTTGATGTCGTTGTCGCAGTTGTTTTTTTCGTGATGGGAGTTATGTTGAAGCAGGTTCAGCAAGCTTTGGCCATGGTCTTGATGGGGTGGTTTGGTGGGTAAATACCCACAACAAGCCATAGTTGTATGGTCGGTTAAATAAGGGGCATGAACTGAGGGCTCCAACATCATTTGGGAGCTCAGCCTGGTGCTGTTCTCTCCTTCTTTGCTCTTGTGGAACACTCTACATAGAACCCAGTCCTCCTGTCATATTAAAAATAAAAATCGAATAAGTCAGAGATAAATCGAGAAAGGTGTCGAGTGCAATCGCATCCATGGAATTTAATAATTTCATATCATTAAATTTTTAATATATTTTTCTAAATTTACGAGCTGTAAATTTTAATGCGTGTAATTCATCTTCTAAACTTAGTGACACATATACGTATCAATATTCCCTTCCAATTTGAGTCGATGATAAGCCCCAGTCATCCCTCTCTTTAATAATAATGATAATTAAGCACTTGATTACGATAACACATGAAAATGGAACGAGTAATAAGTGGACAACTTGCATAGATTATTCCCACTATGCTTTTTCCTTAAGTTTCCTTAGAGGAAACACCATTATTTCTATTTCTCAAATTCATACACATTGGCTGCAATATGTCAACCTCACTATACCCTAAATTTCAATCTATCACTTCCAAAAGTCATTTTCAAACAATATATATGAACAGACATGTCATATGAGTACATAGTTGAAAAGAAAGAGAGTAGAAAATTTGACCTTGGGGGGCATATGTGGGGACTCAAGCCGAAACTCATGCATGATCCAATCCGTTTTAATTCCGTTCGGAGCTCGGTTCCGGTAAAACACCAAAGTTTTTCTCATCCCTACAATCTCTTGAGTTCTTGAGTCGACCACCGTTCTATCCTTCCCCGTCGCTTTCCAGTAACCGGATGTGGTTGCCCGGTTCGTACGGAATCCGATCGCGTACTTTCGGTCTCGAAAATTAAAGAAGTACCACTCGGTTGCGTTCAACTTTGCCGCCTCTTTAGTTTCATTTCATGTCGCCATGCACACACACAAATATAGAGTTAATTTAATTTTCTTTTCATATCCAGCATCAAAATATAAAAAGAGACCTACCAGGAAGCTGCCATGGCTCGCATGTATGCAAATCAATCTCCAACAAAGTACCCTTCAACACATCCTCGTTGGTTATCTTCTTGTAGAGATAATGGCAGACCAATTCCTCATCGCTGGGATAGAACCTAAACCCAGGAGGCAGTGTTGCCCCAATGTCCCTCAGCCCCATATTTACGTTGCTAAGAATAAAAAAAAAAAGGTGGTAGGTTTCTTTGAGATCTTTGCTATGAAGAGATATGATGAGGAAATTATTGAATAAATTTAGGGTAAGAGGCGGAATCGAAATGAACTAAAAGAAATCATATATATATATATATATATATAACTAGTTTATGATCATGACAAATCAATTCGAATAATCAATTAATAAATTAATTTAAAAATATGATTTGTTTGTATCAATCCCCTTAAAAGAAAATAAATGATTAATCAAATAAAGTACTATTATTCATGGTCATTATCATTTGATTTGAGAACAATTCGAATAATAATTCTATGTTTCGTAATTAATTAGAACCAGACGAAAGCGATTGATTTCATTGGCTATGATAATAACAATAATGGATAAAAACTAACGACAAATGATAAATTAATTAATTAAATAAATATTTCTTTTGTAATTTGATAATAATAATGTTTTTAACATATAAATTTTAGCATAATATAATATCCAAATTCTTCATTGTTTATACACAAAAATATTAAGTATTTAAATATATTTAATTTTATAATTTTATATAATATATCAATGGGGCCATTTCATCCTACAACTATAGAAAGGGCTAAGAGAACCTTATGTCCCCGACCACGTGAACCAACAGATTGCTTTTAGCAATAACGAAGACAACTCAAGTAAATAAATAAATAAATAAATAAATATATAAATAAATAAAATTAATAGCTGGAATAATATTAATAAAATAAAATGAAAATGAAAATGAAAATTGCTATTATTAGCAACCAATAATCGTCGACTTCCCCTCCTATGATCTGTTCAATTCTAGATCACATGAAGAAATTAATTAGTTGGTCTGATGACTTTGGTCTGGGCCCCACTAATTCGACCCATATCGCACCCTTCTTTTATAAGTAATTAAGAATTACTTATTTTATGTGAAACATTTTTTGAATTTTTTTAACAGAAATTGCCAATCTTATTACATGTAAAGGACATGTGAAACACCCAGAAGAAGTTCAACAGACTAACAAACAAAAGCAAAACAAATGACGAGCAAAAACAAAACCAAAAGCAAAACTAAAACCCAATAACTAAAGGAAAAAATGATTGACACTTCAAATCATTGGTGAAGAAGTAGAAAAAAAATGTGATACGCTCAGCTGCAAGTAACCAAATAAAAAACTTGAGCCTTCAAGCACCTGACCCAGCCACGAGAGTCTGTCGCTAAGGGGATCTAGCCAACGACGGTCCTCCGATGCATTAACTTCGACATAGCTTAGAGCTTCCTCCACCCAGAATAGGCTTATCCTTCACAACGATGTCTTTGTTGCCAATGCATGCACCACCGCATTCCCACTGCGATGTGTGAAACTGAAAGAGCACGAGCGAAGGCAAGTTGGATGGCCCTTTATCTCATCCACGATAGCACTAATTTACGAGAGATCAGGCTCCGGTGATCGCAATTTGTCAATGAGCGATTTAGAATCACCTTCGACTATGATGTCCGCAAAACCCAAATCAACAGCAAACAAGACCGTGTGGAGAGAAACAATGGCTTCTGCCAAAAAACAGAGGTAATTCCTTGCACCCACCTTCTGCTCTCTCCTAAAATAAACCCACAATAATCTCTAATAACAGTTGATGTCTATGCATGTTGTTGGCTCTATATAAACCAAGCATCGAAATTAACTTTGACTACTGGAACTGTTGGAGCTTTCCATTGGACCAGGTGGGTTGTTGCAGACCACAAACAATTCTATTTGCATTCTCAAAATCATTGCATTGGGTCTTAACAAGGGCAAGCACATCCTCCTTCCTAAGTCTCTTGCCTTATAATACTGTAAATTTCTCGCATACCATAAAGCCCAAATGGCTACAAGAATCTCAACATGCTTATTGACTAAATATTTCAAAAATAAACAATCCAACCAGGCTATAAAATCATATGTTAAATTGAAATCAGACTACGAATACTTTAAATCAGTCCATGCTAATTGCGCTAGAACACAATCACGTACGATATGCAGTCCATTCTCGGCATATGTATTGCATTGCGGACAAATGGGATTATTAACAACTTGTTTTTCGTACAAACATTGTAAGGATGAGATGTAGTTAAGAACGAATCATCATACCTGTAATTTGATCTTCTTTTGACAAGAACTAGCCCAAATGTGTTTAAACACACCTTTCGCTGTCAATGATACACTCCCCTCCTCCAATAACAACCTATACCCACTACGAACACTAAAAATCCCTGATTTCTCTCCACCCCAAATTATTTTATCGTATTGACTATAAACAGAGAGTGGAATGTTCAGTATTAGCTCCGTTTCCGCATCGTTGAAAATTTCTCTAATAAGTTACTCATTTTATTTCAAACTGTTATCATTAATTAAATCCAAAACATTTTCTACTCCATCGTCACTTGATGATTCAAAAAATCTCAGTTGACTCAAAGGGAGCAAAAAATCTTCACAGATAGAGATCGTCATCCTCGATCCCACCTTCCAACGTAAGCCTTTCTCAAGCGACCCCCTTGCGCTCCAGATACTCCTCAAAATGTATGAAGGAGCCGAGCCAAGGTGAGAGGATAAAAAATAACCTACCGGGAAATATTTTACCTTCAATAGTCTTGCAACCAGCAGTGATGGATTTTGAAACAACCACCAACCTTTTTTTGCAAGTAGGGCGATATTAAATTTTGATAGATCTCGAAACCAAAATCCGTCATTCTCCTTAAGTTGACATAAAGCTTTCCATTGATACCAATGTATTCTGTTTTTTCCAACGATTTTTTGCCACTAGAACCAAGCCATGATTCATTCCAGCTCCATACACAAACCTTTCGGCAATAAGAAACATGACATGGCATATAAAGGGTGTAACATCCTCAATACCGGGTTAGTGACTAGATTAAAAATTTTCAGAAATTGGTGATTAAAGTAGGATAAATGAATAGTTCAATGACTTATTTGAAATATATGCTGAAGGCTGTTTAGTAATTATTAAATGAATTAAATGGTAAAATGGTCATTTGACAAGTAAGATTTTTATTTTTCCTTTATAAGATAATGAAACCACGTGAAAAATGAGAGATTTCTCCATAATATGCTCTGTTTTTCCTTTCTTCTTCTTCTTCACTTAGAAGCCAAGAGCAAAGGTGAGTTCATGGTTAGTTAATTTCTTGATGAATTCAAGGTTAGTTTGTGATCATTAGACGATAACTAAGCTTATGGAAAGCTTAAGTTATCTTAAAATCAAAAGACGATAGAGTAAGGGAAGATTTATGGTGACCTAAAACTTCAAAATGAACAAGTTATAAGAGATTAAGTAAAAGGAGTTTTTAAGTTAATTATTGAAATAGAAGGAGTTAACAGAATTTGAAGTTAAATTTGACTTGTCAAATGGTTAATTAAGAAGTTAGAGGTGATAAAATTGAATTAAGAACGCTTGAAAAATTTGATTAAATTCTTTTATTCAAGAATTATGGTGAATTATGAGGGATAGTGAAGTGTTATAGTGTTATAAGAAGGTTTTACATATGTTTAGATGAGTTTTAAGGCATAAGGAGGGGTTAATAAGTAGAATTTGAGGTCAAAGTAAGAATTTTCGGGCTCAAAATGTAATTTATGGGTTATGTGCATCGATGCATATTTAATTTGTATCGATGCACTCTCAAATAAATGAACATCGAATGTGGTTAGTGCATCGATGCACCCCCTTAAGATTAAAACATCGAAGGTGATTTTTGTACCGATGCATGGGTAGTGCATCGATGCACATGTTAAGGGATGCATCGATACACTGTAGAATGTACATATGCACTTCAAGGGAAAATAGAATTAGGCCTTTCTTTTGGTCTAAGAAATGATAGATTAGAATATATCAATTGGATACTGATATGTATCAATGTATGATTATATAGATATCAAGCACGAACAAGTTTCAAGACGACTATCAAGTTAAGATTCGATAGAAATAAATGAACCATAAAATGAGATTGGAACTTAGTGAGGCCAAGGTGAGTGCAATTTTATTGTACTTATGTTATTGAACATACATTGGCTTGCGATGAGCCAGTGATGGAGTTACTATGGTAAGAAATGACTCCTAAAATGTTATATGATTGATAGAATTATTATATGTGCATGAGCACATGAAAATAGGTATATGTTATTATATGTGACATGATCTACATGATTACTTGAATAGGCAATATGTGTACATGTGGTATGTGACAAAATTTAAGAAATATGTGATCATAAGAGCAATGAAATGAATACATGCATATATCTATAGAGTAAGTGCATTTTTACATGTGATTTATGTGAATACATGTATGTGTGATATATATATATGTGAACATGAGTAAACATGACATGACATATGTGCTTACATAAGAACATGATAAATAAAATAAGTTATGTGATAAGGATGTAGAGAATGAAATGAATGACATGAAATGTATGTATGCTTGATTATATGAGGTGAATGATATAATAAGAAGCTATGTGATAAGAAGATATGATACTCTGTAAGGATATTACATGATATGAAATAAAAGAGTTATGAGTTATATGCATATGAAATATATGCTTGCACTTACATATGGTATGTGACAGAAGAGAAAGAACAAGTGATATGAAATGCTATAAATGATAATGACTATGTTATGTAATATGAGAGCTAGTGGTATAGTAGGCATGCCAAGAGTCGAGGGTTTACCTATGTTTTACGGAACATATGGATAAAATTACCTATGTCTTTCGGGATATATGGACAATATACATATGTTCTAAGGAACATATAGACAATTTACCTAGGTTCTTTGGGACCTATGGACAGTTGCTGAGGTTATTTATGACCTCTGGATAGGTCATTCGGGATATTTATACGAGATGTGGTGACACCGTAGTGCACAACCTCAATAGACTCACATATCTATAGTTCTCACATGTGCACATGGGCTAATAAAGAGATAATCTTGAATATAATGTAAGTACTATATATAATTTGTGATATGAATTATTATATGTGTGTTTTGAGTGAATGCATCTGTGATAAGTATGAATTATATGATATATGATAAAAGCATAAGATATTATACGAACAAGAGAT